ACCCCTTCTGAAACCAGCCTGGGCTTCTGGTAGTTCTCTGTTGATGTGCTGTTCTAATTATGTTCCATAATACATTCCAATACATTCCAAATGGAATGTATTATGAGTCCTGATTATTTTCACATACTACATTTTGTGAAACCTGCTCTTTATTCAAAGCTTTCTCTTATTGACTTTATACTTTTGGTAGTGCTTATGTACCAAAAAGTAGTCGACTTCAGTCTGTGCTGATACAGTTGTTGTCTAATATGTGACAATTTACATTTAAGCTTTACAGGTAAGTAAAACTCAACCACACTTAGCACAAAGTCAAAGTCGTTGCCATGGAGTTGGAACAGACTCATATCTGATCCTGCAGCAGGTCTTCAGAGGCTGTAAATAGCACAGTGACATTATAGTTGGAAAAATAAAAGAAAGTAAGACCCTCAACCGGGTGGATTGACACAGTCAATGGGCTAAAATGTGTCGTAGATGATGAGGATGGTACAGGATAGGACAGGGTCCAGAACTGTTGTTCATAGGGTCACTATGAGTCAATCTAAACTCAACAGCATCTAACAACAACAACAAATCTCAAAGAAAAGGTTATGCCTTTCTTCTTCCCTTGGAGCAACTGATGAATTCAAACTATTTGACATAATTCCTTACCCACTAGGTCACCAAAGCTCCCTTGGCTCCTGGTCAAGGGAGGATTCTTTGGAAAACAAGTCCTCACCACTGGGCCAATAGACAACATGGAGAAAAGAGAAATTTGTCATTTATTTCATTTTATTTATATCCACGATCAATACTCTGTATCAACAATCAGGAGATTAGATGTATATGGCGTTGGGAACATTTTCTCCTGGGGCCTTCTTTAAAGTCCTGAAGTGCCACAATGTCAGTTTAATTACTTAGGCTCACCTGATTCAAGACATGGTTTTTCTAATCACTTGCTATGCATCTGAGAGTTGGACAATGAATAAGGATGACAAGAGAAATCGATGCCTTTGGGCTGTGACATTGGAAAAGAGTACTGAACATTCCATGGGATACACAAAACCCCACACCAAAGAAATATGTCTTGGGAAAAGTGCAGCTAGAGTGCTCCTTGGAGGGAAAACAGTGAAGCTTCGTCTCACATACTTAGGGCATGTTGTTAGGAGAGGCTACTCCTTCGAAAGGAAAGTCATGCTTTTAAAGTTGGAAGGTCAGCAAAAGAGTGATTGATAAAGTGTGGCAATGAGCTCAAATGTATTGGGGATGATTGGTATAACGGAGAATGGGGAGGGTTCAGATCTGTTGTTCATTAGGTCGCAATGAGTCGTACTCATCTAGATAGCAACTAACAACAACAACTCTTGCCACATTTCGAGTGCTTGGTGAGCATGTGTCTACAATGTTGGACAAAATGGATATAGCACATTTTCTGTTGCCCTAGAAATTTAATGGGACAGAATTGACTCAAGTTATCAAGTTCTGATTTTCATAAAAAGAACATGTAAATTTTTTTCTTTTTTTCAGCTCTCTCGACGTGCTACAATTCTTTTGGGGATAATGGTAAAATCTGAAATCATGCTAATTTTATTCAATAACTGTTTTCAGAACATGGAAGACAAAGGAGAGTTTGGTGTGTCAAGCTGTTATGGAAATATTAAAAATGATAATGGCGGTTTGAGCCTGAGCTTTGAGCACCCTTTAGATGATGTGAATGTAGTTGATTTGAAATGGATCCATGACTTTGTATTAAAATCTCTTGAACTTTTATATCAAGTGGAAAAATGGGAGGCATTAGTCTATCTTGCCATTCAGTTCAATGAAATTTCACAGTAAGTATGGATTTGAATATGGTAAGAAATAATGGCCATCAAAGAAACAAAGATGTTTCATAAACTAATGCTTGGGTTTAATGTGTGCTTTTCCCTGTCCAGTGAGAGATACACAGAACAGGTGACACCACTGTTGGTGTATGCTCAACGCCAGTTGCTGCTACGAATACAGGCGTGCAAAGGCCCAGACGTCATTCAACAACCTTGTACAAAGTATGAGATTGATCATCAAGAGAAGGTAAATTTTGAGCTTTATAATTTATGCTGTGCTGATTTCTTGTTGTTTTGTTTTATTTTTTAAATTTTTAAAAAATTAATTTTAATGAATGTTTACAGAAATTTTGGATTTCCATACATTTATTGTTGCATTTTTCTCCCTGCTCACCACTCTCCCCCAGTTTGCTCTTTTCTTTGAAGAGTAAAAGAAAAATTATTTCATTGGTATAGAACCCCAGCCCCTTCCCTGAGTGCACTCCACTATGCAACCTTCACTCTGGACTCTTGTCATAACCATAATAATCAATCTTATGTCGCTTTCAAACAGTCCTCTCCCTCTTCTGTTTCAATGCAGTATATATAATTTATCCAGTTTTTCTCCATTTCACCCTAACCCTGATGTCAATCCCGTTCTACAATAGTGACACCATGCAGCCCCTGTCCTATTGCAATGGAGCTATTTCACTCAGCATAATGTCCTCCAAGGTCACCACCCATTTTGAATAATATTGCATGAGTTCCTTGTTTTTCAATGCAGCGTAGTATTGTGTGAATATTCCAGAGATTTCTTTACGGTAACAAAGAAAATACAGAACTAGAGCTAAGAAAAACAATACTCTTCACAATAGCTAATCACAAGATTAAATACTTGGGAGTAAACCTAACCAGAAACACAAAAGATCTATTCAAAGAAAATTACAAAACATTACAAGAAACAAAAAGAGACCTGGAGAAGTGGAAGAATATTCCTTGCTAAAGGATAGGAAGACTCAATATTGTGAAAATGACAGTACTACCAAAGGCAATTCACACTTTCAATGCAATCCCAATACAAGTACCAATTCCATTCTTCAATGAAATGGAAAAGGCAATCTTCAATTTCATTTGGAATAGAAAGAGACTCTGAATAAGCAGATCACTCCTTAGAAAGAGAAACAAGGTTGGAGGCATCTCACTCCCTGATTTCAAATCCTTTTGCACTGCTGTGGTGGTCAAGACAGTGTGGTACTGGTATAATGACAGACACATAGATCAGTGGAATAGAATAGAGAATCCAGAAATCAGCCTATCTACCTATGATCAGTTGATTTTTGACAGAGAGAG